AACAGTTAAGCAAACAAGCTCTGAGACAGTTTTCATGTCAAAAGGGATGAAAGAGAGCACATAAAGTTAGGGATTGAACTAACATGAAGCAGAATGATGAAATAGGGGTCCCTATGTCCTCCAGCAGTTCAAGCCTATAGCAGCACATGTAAAAAAAAATAGCTCGGGACAACCTAAGTTTTTTGGATAAGGTATAAGAGAGGTAGGGGGGAAACCTCTATCCAGACTGAAACCCCCCCTGCTAGATCAGGCTGTTAACGCCCTAACTCCACCCACCTCTCTACACACCCGGCGACTAAGCACACAGCTTTGTGTTTTTAACTATAAACTTTATCAAAAATGAAAGTTTTAAGCCTTGCCTTAAAAGTAGACGGAATGTCTGCCTCGCAGACTAAATGTTGCTGTTTTTATTTTTTTGCAGATGAGCCAGTGCTTCACATTCAGCAGAGAAGACAATCAGGAAAGAGAGGTAAAGTAACTTTAACAACCCAGATCTTTTCAATGAAAGGATTTCCACTGAGGGCCTGGTAATATCGTGTTTTATTTCTGTCATTTACTTTTTTCTGTCCTGTTTGCTTAACTGGTGCGTCAGGAAGCAAAGCTACAAAATGTATCATGAAGCAAACTGAGAGACGAGACACCCCAGGTTGTCCGCCGAGGGACAAACTGCGTCCAGTATTTCTTATGAAAATAATTTCCCTTTAATCTGATATGTTTGAGTAAAATCATCTGCAAAGTTTGTCTCCGGTTTTCAGTAAATAGAGTTAATGTGTGTTAAATTCAATTTGAGAATTATTACAGTTGTTTTCTGAAGGCCTCACAGGTTGTTTGACGACGTTAGAAAACAGACAGGGTCATCAAGACCAAGGTTCTGGTTAAAATCTGGACCTGATCCTGCTTTGCTGTTCCGATGAACTAAACCTGTGTTCCTTTGCAGATTCATTAGTTATTATCTTTTAACAGTTTAGTAAAACGCTAAGACCACATGCAGCCGAAGCTTCTGTGAAAAAATGAGAAAAAGATGCTGCTGATGATGATTGCTTTATTAAATGAAGTCAAAGCTGTTATTGAGTCCAGCCTCCAGTGGGGGTGCTGTCTGCTGCCCCCTCAGCATGTGGGAGGCCGTTCTCAGGGTCCTCACCCTCTAGCAGCTGTGTTGTACCAGCTCCTGGTCTCGGTTTTTGGCTGGGAGATGTCTGTGTTTCAGAAGGAAGCCCAAGAAGTAACTGATTGCTCATTAGTTCCTCATTATAGCCAATAAAACTGAGCAGAATCAGTTTTGTGGATTTTTTATAGCAGCCAAGCACACAGTTAGTCTCTTTATCGGTGTGAATGCATTTGAGTTCTTTTGACCAATTGTCAAGATGATCTTAGTTGTTATACAGTAGTAGTTCAAAATTTCCCCACTTTCCTTGATGGGTCCTTGGCTGGTCCCCTAAAGTCGGGCATACACTGTACGATGTTTTCAATTGTTACACGCAGCTACAGCTCACACTGTACAAAGAAACCGCAGGGTTTAAAAGTTCACAGTTCACAGTGTTTGTTCTCACACTGTGCGATCCAACGCTCTGATGCGATGTACCTGCTCACGCTTTACGTCTAAAAACCAGGCGCTACTCGGACTCTTCTATTCAGAAGCCCAACGAGTAGAAGAGGAATATGAAGCTAACTGGAGTGAAACGCCATGCCTTGGCTATTTGTGCAATTTTGTGCTGAAAGTCCTAAAAAGAAAAGAAGACGACGTGTTTGGACAAAGACATGGCTGAGCATTTGTGGCAACTATGGTCTGTCAATTTTACAGAAAGAACTACATTTCACTCTCACCTGGAATTAGGAAATTTGGGGCCCTAGGCAAAGACAGGCAGGGGCCCTCTGAACTGAGAAGACCACACATAAAACAGACCCATTCTACAGTTAGAGAAATGTTAATAGAATAGACATCCATTATCTGTTCTAGGTTGTGTCCCTCTCTTCTTGTCCCTTTTCTTCTTGTTTTCCTCTCTATGTTTTGTACTCAGGACCTTGGAAACTGCCGAGTATGGCGACATCCTTTCATTTATGTGCAGGACTGAAGAAAAATA